CCCCCCCCCACCAAACATAGTTATGGAATTGGGGAGATAAATGAAATTCTAAGTTGCTAATGTGCTTCTGCAGTTGCTACTCTGCCTACTTACTTTTCTGGATGATCTAAGAAAAAAAACCACACGGCAATTTTATGATTGTGTGTAAAACCTGGAAGAATGTTAAGTTTAATTGACTAATATGTGCACTAAACATCATTATTAAAGAACAGGCTACTTACATATTCACATCTATTTGTAGATACAATACTTCTGTAATCAGAGAATGATGTGCATTAAATATCTAAACTTCTGATGAGAGCAGCCGCAATACCTATGTCTCCTTTTGATGAAAACTGATTCTTAGTCCTTCATTAGTAAAATTATAATGCTTCCTATTTTGAGTGTTATCGCTATGAAGTTCTATTTTGATTTTTTTAATATAACTTTGCTTGATGTAATTTGACAATCGCCTTCTTGGTTCAAAATTTTATAAGCATAAGCACATGGAAATTAGAAATGTGCCACCAGAGTGTATCAACTACTTGGATCTAATCTTTTGCATGCTATGATTTATGAATAAAAAATACTGGTTGTAAAAATGGATCTGAATTTTGCCCCAGTTTTTTCCATCATGTATTCATAGGCTGGAATCCAAAGAACTCTTTGTATTTTTTTAAATGTGTATAAACATGTTTATACACAATAGCTTCTCTTTGGCATATAAAATACCACAACCAAGCATATTGTGGGATGTGTTTAGCGCAGAATGGGATTGAAAAGATATTTATATAGGATATCACGTGGTACTACGGAATGCATGTATTGTATTTTTCTGTGTACAGTATCTGATGACAGATCTTGAAGAATAATTATAATACATTGTTAAAGCACTCGTGAAAACTAGCATTTTTATATGGGTATTGAAGTTTTCCTAACACCCTTGGCTGTTACTCCGTTAAATACACACTCATCTCTGGTCCCATAAATCTTGTTGACAGCCAGCAACAGTCAGAATGAGAAGAGTTCTGATGTGAAGTGTTATTTCCTTCTAATCTTCCAAATTTAGCTATGTAGCTTATAAAAAGCTGAAGGTAAGAATAGTCAGAAATTGCAGTTTACATATTAGCATGTATTCTATGTTACATCATAAACTATGGAACCTAAAACCTATCTCTGCATTTCTCAGTATAACCAAAAAGAATTCATGAGCAATATTTAGCATGACTAAAAAGTGAAGTTGCCTCACAAAATGGACTAATAGTAATAGTATATTTAATCATAACTTGTTTTATAGTCGATATCAAAGAGAATTGGCACCCTTCCCTCTTGCAGAGAATACATCTTGTCTATGTTTCCTTACAAGCCGCTGTTTGGCCTCTCTTCACTTGCTGTACAGATGTGGCCTAAAGTATTGTTACCCCTTATTTGTTTTACTAATTACAAGAATGCATTAAATCATACATCAAAAACAAAGTGTCTGCTGTATGAACTATGGAATAAAGAATGGTGGATGCCATTTACTTGTGTCAGTTTCAACTTATTTCACGGCAAATTGGGATTCTTTGGGAAAAAGCAAGGAGTACCAATACTTTTGGCTTTGTCTGTAGTTTCTAAGAGTTGTATTAATTCTTTCATATAATGAATATTTTATACATTTATTAAAATTATAATGTGAAATGTTAAGGATTTTATTAGTATGGCTAATTCCACTTGGAAGAAATAATATATGTAATGTTCTCTAAATATAACTTCAAAATTAAATTGTCACTCATCCTGTTTCTATGCTTTTGCTAAAATTAAAGTCATTAAAATGTCTCCAAAATTGGAAGATTTAAAAAAAACAAAAACTTGTCCATCAATGATTGATGAAACAAATGAAACAAATCCTGGAGAACCCCCCACCAAGAAAAATGATGTGTATAAACTGGGAAATAGATCCTTGATGTATGGAGATTTCCCCACCCCACCCCTTCTCTTCAGAAAAGTAATGGGGTGATTAAAGCCTTTGTACAGGCTTATTCTTCGTTAAGTCCAGTTGAGTTCAGTAATTCTTATGTTTATGACTTGTCAGAATGGTCTCTGCATTCTCCTTGCATTCTCCACTGCTTGTATTGTAGAGTGCCCCTTCAGTGAAGAGCTTCTTCAGTCACGGGGACTTTACTTGAGTTTCTTGAGTCCTCTTTTACACCCACAGTAGAGACTGAAAGGTTCTCATCCTCTTGCACTATCTTCTACAATATGGGGCTACGAGAGAAAGGCAAAGCTGGTGATAGCAGCTTCATTCTCTTCTGTGTTTGTTTCAGCCAAAACATTATTTATACGTTATCAGCTGTATCTTTCTCTAACTATAAATGTAAGATATCAACCTTTTCTCCTCCCCCAACTTGCAGGCAATTATTGAGGGGAAGGAAGAACTAATTTATAGGTAGGGGAATTAGTATTGTCTTCCTTTTAAGTAATGTTATACGCATTTATTTTCTAAAACAAAAATAATTATTTTTAAACTATCCAATACACAGTTTCTTTTGTTTATGCACATGATTTCATTTAGCTTTCATTTTGTTCAAACTCTTAAATACTTTCAAGTTCTTCACTGCTTGATGAGTCTTCTCCAAACAAGTCTTTTCCTGTTGAATTTCCAGAAGTGTTTATGCTCATCATTTTCAAACTGGTGAGAGTAGAGCTGTTGCTCAAGCCTAAAAGGACAGTCCTTTTGTCACAAGCAACAGTCACACAAGAGATTTTGCTATCAGATGTAAAGATGGATATAAGAGTGCCGCTCTCCAAATCCCAGAAACTGACCTCGCCTAAAGTGGGAGAGGGAAATACATGTTATTACATTTGGCCCTGATTGGAAACTTTCTTCATTTTAATAACCCACTTGCATTGGTTAAATCCATAGCAGCAAAATAATTTATAATTTTTAAAAACCCTTTGGTATAGTTTCCTAGTGGTAAATATAGACTATAAAATGCTGAAATCAATGCAATAATGGAATAAGACATTTTTGGTTATTTTTTTGGCACTGCTACAGTAACTTCTGCTGCTTGTATTCTTCAGAAGTATCTTGTTCAGTAGGTAAGTTAAGATTTGTAGCTGTGATTTATACATAAGCATAATTATCAAACTTTTTTTTCTTTTTAAAATTATTTTTATATTCCATTCCATTTACCGAAGCTTGTACTGCTTTGTTAGGCAAAGATAATAATTGTTCTTGTGGGCTCTGTTTGGCTTCCACATAGTTAAACTTTGCAAAACAGTAACACTGTATAGCCATTGTTTGAATGGATATAAGATTTTGTAATGTCTGAATTGCATCTTTAGTACTAGGGTGATGTATCAGTCAATTCAAAGAAGAAAAGGGTGATTCAGAATGCACGGGAGTGCGCATATCACACAGTTTGCAACACCTTTCCTGGGCTTACACAGCTTTTCATTTTTCTCAGGAAAAGATCCATTGGATTAAAGAGTTGCTGACACGTGCAACATGTACACTGAGTCACCTTTTCCCTCTTGAACCACTGTAGGCATAATGCTAAATAGTATCTGATTGACTAGGATTTATTAATAAACCACAATGGGCTGTGTTTTCACACCACACTAAGCCATGAGCCCTGTTCCATTAATCATGATGGCTGGTTCATATTCATAAGACAAAAGTAAAAAAAATTGATTAAGAAGAGGGGCATACAACTTGCAGCCTATGGGCTGCATGTATCTCCCTTTGTGATCCTAAGTAGGGCCAGGATTCTCAGCATCGGATGAAAAAAAATCCAATCTTTTAGACATGAGGAATTAATTTCACTCCTTGAAACTTCCCCCCCCCCCCAAAAAAAATCAGGCTGATTTTTCCTGTTTTGAGGCATACTTGTTCCTTAACCTAGGTATACCTTAAGCTAAGTATATTCAACTTCCCATTTGAATTGTGTGCTAGGAGTGACATTCCAAAATTAGCGGGCAAACAACAAAGCAAACTACCTCAAGACTAGTCTGACAGTTGATTTCACCTCCTTGTAACGTTATATTCCTGGTTGTGCGACCTGTGGCCCCTAAAGCCAAACTATTTTTTTTTAAAAGCGCATTACCCATCAAGAAGAAAGTTGGCTGCATTATGATAGTCTGTGAGCCAGATATAAGTACAGAATGGGCAACCGTATATCCAATTTGTTATCCCAGAAGCTTTCCACTTGGGCTTAGTTCTGCAACCATTGCCACTCTTTGTACTTCAGCTATACTTTTTCCATTTCTAAGAACATTTAAAGCAGTGTCTCTCAACCTTGGCAGTTTGGAGATGTGTGGACTTCAACTCCCAGAATTCCCCAGCCAGCATCTTCAAGCTGCAAAGGTTGAGAAACACTGGTTTAAAGTATCTGAGGGCCACGGCAGTCTGAAAGGGAAATGAGCAACTGAGATAAGCAAAAAAACAACTTTCCAACCCAAATTTTGCAAGAGTGATTAATGCCGATGGAAGCTATTCTGTTGTTCGGTCATACATTATGTCAGATATGTGAGCATCAAAGATAAGCTTGGTGGGAAAACCCACTGCTGTTTTTTTCTTCTTTTCATTTATAATGAGACTATTAATGGTACCTATCTAATCAAAAATTCCTAAGACAAGGCCTGCTTCAGAACTTACTGCAGTATATGAATCTTGTTTATTGGACCCTGTTCTCTGGCTTACATCCCTATTCCATTCATCTAACCTAATGAAATATATGACAGCAATATCTTCTTTTTAATTAATTAAGAAAATAATTTATTTCATAAATGTGATATTTTATCAAATGTTCTATGGTTGCA